TATTAATATGAAACCATTACATTTCCTTCTGCAATAAGCCAAGAATACCTTACTAGCCAGCTTCTAAAAGCTGCATATTTTTTACGATAATAAATGCTTACTTGTTCTTAATTTTAACTGATGTCAACTACTAAGTTTTCAATGGGCCAGTAGACTATCAAACAGACGAACCTATTCCTGATCTTAACGGCAAAGTATATATGGCCACCTTGGAAGCTCAGCTTTTTTACTGTATTAAAAATTATACACGGAAAAGTTCTGCAGTTTTCTAATAAAGCATTCCTTTTTACCCATGTACTTACCTCCTCTTTGAATCTGCCATTCAATTCGCCTTTTCTTAACGTAAATTCTAACAAAATCCTGCAAGGTTTCAACTCCGGAACCCAACTGATCAGAGTAGAGTAATCAATTGTGATACCGCTGGTTGACTGCAGGCAGATACTTGTTTATTATTACTAAAGTGAGACGACCGCTGACACGATAAAATCATACTGCAGAAGGGGGTCACAGAGTCTACGTGGGAATTCGCGAAGAACAAGTGGCGGGAACAAGTTCAGTTCAATTTCAGTCACCACCAAGTGCGCGTGGTTACTCAATAGAAACACCCCAAACCACCAAATTATGGATCCAGATGATCCAAAAAGCAAAAAGAACAATCTGACTCCGAGCAAGGAGGAAATCACTGATGATGAGTCAGTGGAAGAGGTGATAGCGTGCGTATCTGCGAAGAAGAAGGCGGCGCGGAGGAAAAGGATGATGATTTCAGATGACGAGCAAGGCGAAAGGTAAGTAAAATTGTGGAAAATCTAAATCGTTCTGGCGTTAACTTTTAATGAAGACGCTTCATCTTGTTCGAAGAGACTTCAAAATTTGGACATGTGGGCTGCCGCGGCCGCGGCGAACGGCTACGACGGCAGGCTTTGGCGGATGTTTACACTTACACATACCAGAAGTCTACCAGCCGTCGGTTCCCCTGCTCTCCCCTCCCCCATCAAAGAATATATGCTCATTAAATACTTGCCTATCGTGACTAAGGCATTGACCAATCAAATCGTCGTTACTGCGCATAGATCATGCTTCCCGAAGATGGGATAGACGAATGCAAGTAATCTAAGGTTTTTGCGTTTGGAGAAACGTAGGTTTAAATATGGCGGCAAATAATCTGAGATATCACTCAATAATCTGAGATATCACTCAATAATCTGAGTGTAAAAATGGCGAGACGCGTTATTTAAATACTAGTTTCCCTACTTTTATTCGCAAAATGGCACGACAAGCGAGATGTGGCCTTTTTGTCGTCAAACGTTTCCCCAGAAGAGCCTTCGCGGGCCGTACAACGTAGAAAAAGAGGAAGAAACATCGATATCCAAAAACCGTGAGTCTTGAATGTTTATACGGTAAACATGGGTGGTGTAGATAGAGCTGACCAATTTCGATCCTATTATACCATCGTAAGATAGTCGCAAAAGAGGTACAGGTACATCTTTTGGTTCTTTTTTAACGTTGCTGCTTGCAATAGATATATTCTGGAATGTGAATACCGAAGGATACGAAACCTGCGAAAACGACCCTAAGCCCTTTTAGAGTCGGGTAAGCACCTGATAGACGGCTACTCCTATCGAAGCGAGGTGCAAATCAAGTACCGGCCCTAGAAACCACAAGAAATCACCAAGCGATTCCAGAAGAAGGCTGAAAGAAAGAATGTGTACAGTGCAAATCTGCTGGTCGAATAACACCGAAAGGCTACCCAGTTGAAACCAGAAACAAGTGCTAACAGTGTGGTGTTGCGTTATGCTAAGTGCAGTACTTTGCCGATTATCATAGCGAAGACACATGAACATACAAATCGATTTTACAATTCGTAATTTCCAGTTTTTTCAATGTGCAGATCATCTAAATACGCAACAGGAACTAAAAGTAGACTTTCTACACAAAGAAACGAGAATGTTGTAGGATGACATGTTATCACATACCAGACGAAAAAACACTTTAAATTCTCAGTCTGCATTTTGAACCCTCTCTGCAGTCTACATTTTGTATCCGATCTGCACTCTGCATTCTGCATTTTGTACTAACAGGTATCCATGGCACCAATACAGCTTATTTTTAGTTACAGTTATTCGCACAACACACTCAATCTACCACAAAATACCTGTGTATGAGTTACTTCAACATTTTAGTTCTTTTCCGAGTTAATACTCTTTCCTTTTGTTAAAATGTGGACATCACTTACAATGTTTCAATTACTTCACTCACCCAAAAAAAAAAAATAACTCTTGCATGCAAAGCATGCCTATGTTTTGGTCTATGGTACACTTCAAAATTAGTAACACTCATAGGTTATAATTGAGCCATGGCTTGTTATGCCCACTTTTTTAGATGTTTGTTTATATTTATTTATAAAGCATTCCCAAACTTAGCATCTCTAATAAGCTAGTGATTTCTGTGTTTTCTGCAAATGATGCAGAAAACACAGAAATGACTGCAGAATGTGCTACACAAGTCAGTTTAATCTTTCATGAACAAAACTTTTTGGGGCCTTATACATATAAATCAATACAATTATTGAATTTTGTTCTAAACAAATTTGGTACTAGCATTACATATACAAGTACATATGCTAGTTACAAGATAAAGTATTCAGGATTATGTTCATTTTTTATTTGTTTAGTTCTCTGGAGCAAGCTAAGAAGTTTAGAACAGAAAGCGGAAGGAATGTGAGAAGGAAATTAGCTTTTGATGAGTTGAAGAATGAAAGAGACCATAAACAAAAAGGGCCATCAAGCAAGCCTTGTAATGCTTCAGAGGGCTCATCTGAAGAATCTGAGGTATTTATTAAAATTGTTCAACATACATGTATATACATGTAGTTATTATATATACATGTAGATTGGTTATTTTAACAATTAGATTCCTTGCTGCAGTGTGTCTGTTCTGTGAATTTGATCAGAGACGATGACAAAATCTGCTTAATTAAAGCAAAAAAGCCCACTTGAGGTGCAGCTTACGTGTGACACTAACATTCTCATCACTACACAGACCCATAGCAACATGGAATCTATTTGTTTTTTGATAAAGAAGCCAACTGTTGCTCATGAAAGGATCATCTGTATGTCTGTCCTTTAAAAGATCCCAAGAAAAAAGTATTAAAAATGCATATGTGATTTAGCATATTATGTCATTGATAATAATTATATCATCTTTCACTCTTCCTCCTTGGCCCATTCCCATATCTCCTACTAGGTCATTCTACCTTAGTACTTTGCTTACTTACATAGGATAATAATTGTATAACTTCTCATTGTATGTGCATGCTTCAAAGAATTGCAGTGGATCTAACTCTTGACTGCTATTACCTTGTACAAGCACCATTGACTGGATAATAAGTTGAAGTTGGACTAATAATCTGAAGTTTAATATATGTTTTTAAAGGAACTTTATTTTCTGATCTGATCAAATACAAAATACAAAATTCTTTTATCTAAAAAAAACCAGAGATTCTGCTTGATTAACTAATTAAGTTAAATGGGCTACATCCTGGCCATGAGAAACAGAAAATTTGTTTTTCTTTTCTCGGGGATCATTTCTGGAATTTATAACTCTAATCCTGATGAAAAAGTAGGCTGGTGTTCATTGTCAACTTTTTGGGAATTTAAGGTGAAACTGGAATTTTCTTTCCTTCCTTAAATTCTCCAATATCAAGGTTTTTCAAAGTTTCCTTTTAGCAACGGGAAAAGCCAGAAAACTTTAATGGTATATAACAGCTCAAGGCTTACATGTAGCACTTGCAGTAATAAGGAGGGAGAGGCAACTAAGAAGTACAAATGTTTTATGCAGATTGTTAGAAACAGAATGAGAATGTAAAAGCTAAAGTTGCCAAATACAGGTCACCAATTTGACAACTTTTACTGATCAGAGGATTTCAGTTGTGAAAATGTTTTTCCACCTACCTAATGACTACCAAAAATCATTCTTAGCTTGGAGCACTGATCTTGTACAATTTGTATAAAATTTCTTCCATGCTTGATACAGATTAGCACAGGTTTATATTTGTGGGATGTGTTTCTGGAAAATTTTTTCTAATAGTCTGATTAACTAAATGTCTAGTCCAGCCACTTGAAAAGATGTATAACATGTATGTTTGGAGGAAGTTTTGAAAACTGAAATACCCTGTTTTTACTTGTAGTGTAGCAGTTACCATGGAAGTGATGAAAGATCTGAGGATGAATCAGATCTTGACCTCTCTAGTGTGGACGAGGACTCTGAAAGTCAAGATTTGGTAAGCAGTACAGTGCCTGCTATTGTGAGTTAAATCAAATGAAGTTCTTTTTAAATAGTTATATACTAGATAGGATATGTTTAAGGGAAATTTTTTTTCTTGTTGTCTAATGAATTAAATATTAAGCCATTGGAAAATATGTATAACATGTATGTTTGGAGGAAGGGTAGACAACTGCATGTAATTGAACTTTGAAGCTTTTTTCCACAATACCCTGTGCTTATCCACAGGCAAGCAGTTCACTTGAAAGATATAGTGATGAATCAGGTCCTGAGAATTTTGGTGTGGATGAAGTTGGTAAGGAAGAGTTGGTAAGCAGTACAGTGTCTGCTGTTGTGTGTTAATCAAATGAGGAACTTCTCCTAAATATTTGTAATTCAAGTTTTCAGATTCACTAATTTTAGTATAATGAATTACAATGTGATGGAGGCTGAATTTAAATGTAATGAGATTAGAAAATTTAGTGTAACTTTGTTAAAGTGGTCCATAAATCAGTTGAAAAGTTATAGTTCATCCACTTGAAACAAAGCTGCCAAGACTCAAGATTGACACATGTTGAAATTTTGATACAATATTGGTTGATACAACATTTATTAATGCCACTTTTAAGGAAGTAAATGGACATTCCTTTAAGAAGTGAAATTGAACAAACATTGGCCACTGCACATCCCATCCTCCATTCAAAAGCAAAATCCTCCTTTCTTGCCTGTTTTGCAGGCTCAGCTGGCAAAATGAATAAGAATCCTTGTTGTTAATTAATGATTACTACAAAATCCTAGAGAAAGTTATCTTAATTATTACAAGTTACCTTACAAGTTACCTTAATTATTACAAAATATACCTGCTTCATTCCTTTAGTTTTGTAAGTTATATCTTGTCTGGTTTTGTTTTGCAAAATATTACAAGCCGCCAAAAATTGCCTATTGATCTTGTTTGATAAGTAGCATTAATATGCTCTTTTAGTTAACTATTACAGACCATGCCTTCTCATTATTTCAGCCCAACCCAGGAGAGGAACAATTGTTTCGACTGCTTGTTGAAATTCTCTTGCGAATCATTGTGGGTGCATTGTGGGAAGGAAATGGTAAATATTTTATTATTTTGTTTATATATTATGTGTATATATATATATATATATATATATATATAATTATTATTAAACATGCATGTATACATACTTTGAAAGGACACATCATTAAAGTTTTGATGTTCTAAGATTTATTGAAAAACATACTCTACAGGTACATTATTACAGATATATGTTTTCAATAACTAGCTTGTAGAACATTCCCACACATAAAAAGTTGATAATGACGATGAGAAAAAATTTTTGAAACTGAATTTAAAAAGCTAATTGGAAAGAAAAATAAATAGAAAAAATAAACATAAGCTGGTATAAACTTCTGATCAACTTAGTGAAAAAATGTACTCAACTGCAATGTGCTAAGACACACTGTATATTGGGCAATGTTTATCTAGAGGGAAGCCTGAAAAATGAACCTCACAAACAGAAAAGTGTTAGATACATGCACATGTAGTAAGCCATACCTGTATGTACCTACATTCATTGTACTATGTGCAGTGAATTGGTAGCACATTTTATATAAAGGAGAAATCCACGCTGGTGTGTATAATGGCCTTATTATTTTGAATGAATGCAACAGATGGAAGCAGAATTATCAACAAATGCCACCCTTAAAATAAATCTTCACCTGTTCACAAGAATGTTGAAGGAAAAGGAAACATGAAAAGCATAGTGAAAGTCAGTACACCATTTTTGGAAATGCAGAGATAAAAAGATTTGGGCACTTTGTAACTTTTTCTATTTTCAATACTGCTTACAAAAATGATTTACTGTTAGAAGTTGTTGTCCATGATTCCTGAAACACATTTTCATGCCCCCTTGAATGAATGCGGCTCTGAAAACACCTAAAACCTTTTAAAAGTGTGAAGTTCATTTAGCAGTTATTAGTAGTACATGTATTACAAATGTTTCACAAACACTTCTCTCACCTAACTCTGACTATTACTTAGAGCTCTCTATATATGAAAATCTTTACTGTTTAAAATTTAATTTTGAACACTTCTGTTGTTATGTTCTTCTGTAGATGATCATTTCAAGAAGGCCCAAACATATTGGGAAAGACTGATAAACACGAAAAAGGAAAGTGTGGTGGCAAGCAGCAGATGGAGAGATTACAAAGTAATATTGATAACCTTCTGATTCTGTTGTAGTGTGGCATCAATTGTCACTGAAACACCTTGTTCTCAATTTCCAATTTTCATCTTAAAAAATAGTTAACACTCTTTCAGTGTTAGTCTTCACTCAGCTACAGTAAACCTCATCATTTTTAGAGTACATCTGAAGGATATGTTCACTGCACATGCACATACATTATTACCCACTCAAAACATGTACTGGGTCACTACAGTACACACGGTCATGTAACAGAATGAGTGCCTCATGTATGTAGCCTATGGCGATTATAGTTCCCAGCTGTTATAATAGGGGTTTCTGTGGATGGGAGATTCTTCTCCTTGCAAAGTTGATGGTGCTAAAGCTTGTCTTTGAAATACAAGTTGGTCAAACCAATTTGTACCCAAATTAACTTGTACACATACATATACATATAGGAGATCTTTTCAGGTGTATAGTTTTTGCTTTTGAGTTAACAGTGGAATGAAGCATACATGTATACCGTCTCAAACAAAGTAAAGGAGAGTCATTGTAAGGTCACAGTTTAAAAAAGTCAATCAAAATTACAGTTTGTTGTTGTCATGAACAGTCACTTTGTCCATAACACACTATTATATTAAAATCTTTATTGTCATAGTCAATAGATTCACCATTCACATCAAACAGTAACAACAAGTTTTTTGGCAGGAAAAGCTGAAGAAGTGTAAAGTGGTGACATTCAGATCCCTCAAACGAACAACGAAGCACCAGCGATGTGAGGTAAGATTTGTTTGTGAATAATTTTTTTTCCAAATCGTATGCCTCTGAATTTCAGTTTTTTTTGCATTTTCCTAGCCTTAGAATCAGCCAAACGCCACCTAGGTGACCTCCTAATAACCGGTTACCAGTTATTTTTGCCCACTGTTCAAGTAAATTTTACTGGCTATTTCACTGAAACCTGGGACTGAAATATTTTTATTATCCAACAGTTTTTTTCAATTTTTTGGAAAAATATCTCATGTCTCCTTCCAACCAATGTTGTGAAGATATCTATAACATGTTGCTGGCCAAGCAAATTCATCACTCGTAGTCACCTTGCAAAATGACCTCTGCCATGTTTCCTTTCCATTCTTCTTGTGGCCAAATGAAAAGGCCTGCCAACATGGCATCCACAGGTGGCTCTACCCCTGGACCCCAGTGGGGGCCCATGTGGCCCCCACTGCCCCAGCATGGGCTAAAGTAACAAAGTTACTGGCTATTTCTTATTTTTTACATCCAATAAAAAACCTTAGCAAGAACCCTGACAAGCTGAAAGGCATTGTTGACAGTATTTGCAAATGTTCCACCAATACTCTGAGTGCATTTTTATCCCAGTTATTACGAATCGAAAGTGCAGTCTGTTTCTATGATAATCATCTAGCCATTGGATTATCAGTATTAAGAATAATAGGTTTTTGACCAATCAGAAAATGCACAGTGTCTCAGTTAAAGATATGGAGATGTTTAGGAAAACGAAAGGTAATAATTTGTGGATACTCCACTGTCAGTTGTAGTGACACTTGCTAGTGAAGTTCTTGAGTAAGACCAATAAGCAATATTTCAGTTAAAAATTGATTTCTTGAAATCTGCACATTTTGCAGAGCCCCAAATCTCAGTAATTTAGACCTATTTAATTTTTTTTCAATTTTATCCCATAATATTTCACTTAAAAATTCATGATACAATCCAACAAAATTTCTGTGATATCTCCATGATAGGCATGTTTGATACCTCGCTTTCTGAAGGAACGCGTGGAATGTGAAGAGCCTGATGGAGAGGTTAAACAGGTGGGTTAAACACAGCATTCTAATTTGTTGTGGCTGTGTGATAAATTAATGTTTTATTTAATTCAAGAAATTGGCCTTTCCAGATCAACAAAGGAAGGCCAGTCAGGGAATATATCTTTTTCTTTTCCCTTTTAAAATTTCATCCTAGTAAACAAGCCACAGTGATCACATGGAAAACTGACTTAGTGCGGGTCAGTAAGATCATGGTATGTGCATGGGTCAGCTCAGCTGCTTGTGTTAGTACACATGCAAAGTTTGATATAAGTAATTGATTAGGTGGTGATTGTGAGATCATCACAGTAGCCAGTTATGTGTTGGGAATGCATGGAAATTTGTGAGAGCTGGAAAGAAGTATGAAAGTATAAAGAAAACTTTTGGCTTTTCAAAATTAAAGGTTTTTTTTTTGTGATGGATATTCTGTTTATTAGTGGTTTTGTTTTGAGGTCAATGTATACATTTTTAGAACACTATTATGGTGATGCAGATTATGAACATTGTTCCCTTCAGTCTCTTGCTTGTATGTACTACACACTTTTTGTTCAGTATCAGCTTTCTTTTATATAGTGGGACCTTACAGTGGTGCTTAACTCCTAAGTACATGTATCTCTATTTTTCATAAACTAGTAATGGTAACAGGACAGAGTGGAGTCCAATTCCATCTGTAATAATATGAGTGATCACATAATTGCACAGCTGTGCAGCAGGAGTCTGATTTGTTTATCACAAGTATATTTACAGACTGAATTGGACAACACAATGTCTTTAGTACCATTTAACCCTAACCCTAACCCTATAAGCAATTACAATTTCCAAGAAAAAAAGAATAGCCAAGTTATGAAAGAAAGGGAGAATTTGCATCAAAATACTGACAAAGGTTGTGATTGGTTGATTTAAACTACAACTTTGAATGTGATTGCCTTTTTGAACTGTCTGATAACAAACTGTCTGATATGAACTTGGCAGGAGAATAAGCATAGGTAAATTGCGATTTTTATGATTAATTGAGAAATCAGCTTGCAATTTAAGTTTGCAATTAGTGTGTAAGCAAATGAACAATTGGTACAATTAAAAGGTTACATTAATTAGATCTATTTTGCCATATTTTCATTGGGTCACATTATGCATGTAACATGATTATTTGACCTTGATTAAATGTGATTGACTTGGGATAATACCAGTAATTCTTCTGTGAGTACAGTATGTTTGCTACTCAAATGTTTTCTGAGACTCAACCATACTTAGCGAATATTTATACCTTCATTGTAGAAATTTAAAGTTTGTCAGTCTTGTGCAGCAAAAGGGTCTGTCTACCATGACCTTCACCATTACAAGCAGCAGCTGAAGGAAAACTGCTCTGAACAGGTACCAAACTTATGAGCTGATGATAGAGATATGTACAGCTGTATGTTCATGAAGGCCATAGTCAGTATTCAATTTTTTTAGCTACACTGTAAAAGATCAGTTGAATATATACAGCAATTTGCATACTTCTAAACCCCTGAAATAATCTTCAAGTGGCAAGTTGTTGACATAAAGAGTGTAAGAATGCTTTGGAAAAATACTATAAAAAAAATGGAAATCAAGTAAAAAAGAGAAACCTTCAACCAAAGGTCTTTTTGTTCATTTGTTTATTTTTTCCTTGATAGTTTTATCATTATTTTCATTGTGATCATTATTATAATTACTATTTTTACCTATTTATTTATTTATTTATTTCATTTTTAATAAGTACTATACATAACTCTAGATTGTGGAGAATATTAAGATATTTACTAAAGTTTACCAACCGATTATGTTTACCAGTCACTAGAATTGCACAGTGTACTGAGATGAAAGTGCCAGGTTGAGGAAGACTTACCATAGACTGTAAGCCTTAGCTAACTTCACAAACTTTAAAAGAATTTAAAATATTTTTTAATCTCAGTTAGAAAAGGTGCAACAAATGGCAGGTACTGAAACACCTGAAGGAATCATCAAAAAATGTCTCGATGATGAAAGGTGGCTGGATAGGGTGAGGCAAATTGTTTTTCTTCTTTGAAGTCAAGTCATCTATCCCTCTCTTTTTTTATAAATATACCTTAATCCACTCAACCTCTGCTTTCTTTTTTTATGGCAGCTGTTTAGCCAGTTCCAGTCAACTTTGGACGCTGCGAATAAATGGGCAATTGATTGAGATAGAACATTAACAATTATCAGTTATCAATTAGACATGTCGTGCTTACTATTCACACTTGTGTAACAAGAGGTTCTCGATGCATTTGGTAAACTGACGATTTTGTCTCCTAAAGAACTAAGTTAGGCTAGTAGTTGGGTGACCCCGTATTGTGGATTAATTTAGGAACATTTGCCAATTTTAAATTATTTTAATGCTCTCGAATTGCCTCAACGGTAGAAATAGCACCACACTTTCCTAGCTTCAGTGTAACGATATAATTTTTTTGTTATCAGGTTTTTATGCTAGCGCTAAAAATTTATATAAAATTCAGCGTAGAAACTGCGAGATTTTATTAAGTTCAGCAATGCGTAAATGCTACCAATACAGTCAGCCGAAAACAGTTGTTATTAGATCATAACTGTAATTAGTGTTAAACTTTAACCGTCACCTGTCATGGCCTTTTGTGTAGTTGTTATCCACCTGAGCTTATTGAAAGCGATTAATCTTGTAAAAGGGGAAATTCGTGCCTTGCCAATCGTTGTAGTAGGTTACTTGATCCTTTAGATAATTCAAAGCATTGCCTAATCCTTTGTACCTTGGGCTTAAATAGAGCTGTTTTGTAGAGCTTTCTTTGGTCAAAAGTGAAAAGGAAACAGTCAGCTGAATGGTGCTTGCAGAATAAATCTACGTTGAAGCCAACTATGTTGTTGTTAGTCATTGTCTCAAAGACAGTCAGCAGCCGTAATAAATCCCGACCTTCTCGCATTTCCCAGAAGAAGTTTATCGGGTTGTTCCCCGTTCGCCCGTTTATCTGTGAAGGCAAAAACCTGTTTTCACATTAGTCAATGCGCGAGAAAAACAGGTGTTTATTTTCCCTGTTCAAAGCATTATTATAATTCCGATTTGTTTCCTAAATCCCCGCTAATGGCTCAGATGCCGGACTCCGATCCTAGCGGAAACATGTTTGCGCGAGTAAGGTGGGGTTTATCTTTTTCATTTGTTATTTCATTCCTAAAATTCTCTTCTGGGGTGGAGGGGAAACCAAAAGATTCTTCGCAAAAATTGAATGATGTCTAGGAAGCCTTGACGGCAAATTTCATTCGTCGCGTACTTGCATTAAGATTGACACCGGCCAAAGCTGCACGCCTCGCTGGTTAATTTCCACTTGGCTACCTACGCACACTCATTAAAACTTAAAAAGTTTTTACGCTGTCACTTACTCTTCACTAATATTTTTTTTCCTCCTGTGCCGGACTAAGCTGGATGTAAGAGCCTGCTTGTATTGAGACATTTCGTCTCTAAGTTAAGATAATCTAGAAATCTCTGAATTATGTTCTTAGGTTTTACAAAAATCGGATATACACTTTTGGACATTAAACTATGTGTATAGACCAAAAAATTGGATAAAGTTAGAAATACAAACTTGTGTGAGCCCAGCAGAACATAACTGACTTACTCGGTCATGGTACGCGTGACAAGTGTGATGACCTGCCGACTTCATTCCTTCTTAAGAGGGAAAATATGGGCATGTGATATAATCATCCGAGTGCCAATTTTTATTAACATTTTATTTTTTCCATTATACTTTCTTTCATTGTTTACCGCTATTCATAGAGTTCAACTGTCTTAAAAAAGCACTCATTCCATGTAAAAATATTGTAAAGCTGACCGTGACTCCTGGTCAGATCTTGCGCGACCACATTTGTGACTTATGCGATAATCGAATCACGAGACTCCACTTCTACGACCTACAAAAACAGGCGCATTCAAATATCCTAAATGCTAAAAAAAGGATTTTCAACGTACGCTAAAGCGAGTTACTTTACCTTGAACTGCTTGATAATTAAAATCACTGAAAGTTTTCTTACTTCGTTTACAATGTAAGTCAAAAATTGTGTAGTTTTGGAAAATCACAGGAAAAACTTCAGTGATGCCCCTTTGCCACTTTGTTTATCCAGAGGGATGGTTCGCGACCATCCGAACCGAAAGAATCCTTTTTGTTTCACTTTGTCATATTTCCCTTTCCGTGAGCTGGATTCCCTTCTTTCAAAAGTAAATTTGCGAGGTTGGAGTTTTCGACCGTTAAACATGATTACCATCAAGCTTTGTATAAACTATGAAGAGTGGTTCAGTTCGGTCTCTTTACATTAGGTGTTGCAACATGAGCAATCTTTTCTTTAGCTGAGGAAGCTCTCAAATTTGCAAATGCTCCTAGGGTAGGTCTTCACAATATATTTAGATATAATTTTTTGCCACGTGGAGAGGCGCCTTGAGAAGAAAAAGGAAATTTGCGGGAGCCAAAACGAACTATCAGCAAAGAGAGTTAACTCCGCCGAAAAGAACGAATACGGACAAGGATGAAGAAAATTGACACGGATTTCAATGAAAAACTGGGAAAATTTTGGCTTCGTTTTTCCAGCTTTGTAATCCTTACAAATAGCGTCTTAAACCTTAAACAAGCTCAGCATGGTTCCTCCATTCATCACCTGGAGCTAAAAATAAGTGAAATTGCAATGAGAGACCTGTGTTTTGGGTTCTCGTGCGACCCAACACTGCTTCAGATCGTACCACCTTACCCAAAGACTAGAGTAAGTTGTCTGGGTTGCCGCGCTTAGTGTAAGAGCACAGCCAATTTCTTTCAAAATATGAATTTTACTGATAAGAAATTTGCGTAGTGTACAAAATTCTTATTCCTGACCAACGTTTAAAAAAATCGTCGTCTGAACAGTGTTGATGGTGACATTTTAGCGCTAGAGCAACATGGGGAAATCTTTTCATTTAGCACAGCGGAAGTAACGTGATTTTCAGATTTCGCTGTTAGACAGAAGAAGAGCTGGGAGGTATAGTTTTTCTCTTGGATATAGTTGACTCTGCTTGATCATAAGTCTCAAATTAAAAATTCGAAATCATAGTTTTGCGGTTCATTGGCAATGTATTGAGTCGTTTTCCTCCTTAGGTTTCAATATCTTAAGGTTGAAAGAAAGAAGAACTGATACAATACTTTTGTCACGTTTTTTGTCTAATTTGTTGTTTCCGGTGCCCAAAGCGATTAGTTCTGTCTCTATAATGTGCGCGATAGGTAAGATCAATTGGGAAGACTCCTGGATTGATTCATATTTGAGTGAGCTTCTCGAGCCCCAAATAATTTAAAAAAATTTTCGAGGTATGAAAATATTATTGTCAAAACTTTTGCCGACTCTATCACGCGCAACAATAAAGACCTAATCGGAAAATTCCGTAAACATTGCATGACCGACCACAAATCGTTGGGTGATCATCATGTGAGTTGCGTGTGGCATTAGTTCTTTTTACAGAGCCGTTTTTCACTAGTTGCAAGGTAACTGCTGACAGGATTCCCCTCTCTCTCGAAATCAAGAAAATTGTTTGCCTCAAAAGGTAAGAATTCAACTGTATTCGTATCCATCAGAGTCCTTTTCTGATAGACCCCAGAACCTACGGATGACTCTATCAGGTCACGCTGTTGATCGTGATCCTACGCTAATGGCTTGGTTATAAAAGATGTATCTACCCCTCGTGTATTATAGATTTTATACACGAGTCATCGCCTTTTTCGTCCAGACTACAATTTTTTATTGTTTCTGTTAAAATATAATTTGATTGAACTATCTAATGAACTATTTCAAGGTGTTACCCCCGATATCTCTAGCTAGGTTACCACGTTACGTGGATACCACGAACTCTGTCGTAGCTTTAGTCACAAAACTGCAGCTTTATTGTTGCGTGTTCCTGGCGTTTAGTTAGCAAATAAGAGACTTCGCGGCGTTTCGGGATCCGAGAAAAACCGTTATTTTTCGCTCAGCTGCTACCATCGCTCCGTTTATCAATAGACCATGGCCGGAGGATTTTCAGAATAAATTATTCCCCGCTCACTGGAGAAATTATATTTCCCACCCTGTGCTGGAGTGGGAATTCAATTGACAAGTTCATTTTTTTTGTCTTATTATCATATTCTTTACTGACTGTAGGTTGGTTAGACTGAAATAAGACTAATTCAACTGACAGTCGGTCATGACTCGATCTGTAAAACGGGTGATCTCCACCTCGCTAGGAATCCTGGGATGGCATGGGGTATTGTTATTTCTTCTCATCATTTCACTGTTCAAGATTTTCCATTGGGAACACGAAAGGCCCCTCGAACAGGAAATCGCAGCGTGCCCATGTACCCTGGGTGCCATCTACAGCAATATCATGTTTCTTCTCCCATCCTTGGCTGCCTACATGATTGCATGTTTTGCTTATTTCCGTCAAGACGACGGTAGCGTTCCTTGGTCTGCTTTGAAAAAATTCTACGAAATGGTACGTTCCTGTGATTTCTTAGAAGAGTCCACCGATTTTGATTTCCATGTGGAGGTCTGCAATTACTGCCACCAAGTCGAGCGTGATTGGACACTTGTGAAAATTGCAGTTTCGGCAGTGCTTTCGTCGCTGTATCCTCTTGTATGGATCACCCTCAGTCTTCTTCAAGCCCATTACTATGTCTGTGCTCAAGTCGGTCCCTCACCAATAATTGTTACTAGTTTCTGCAATGTAACAATTGGGGAAGATTATTCTAAAGAGTACGCCTTGGCAGGGATTCGCTCGAAAGTCATCGGAGGAATTTTGTTTGCCTGCATGCTGTTTTTTGCTGGGTTGTTTGTAATCCTCCATGGCGAGATAGAAAACTATTTGAAAAAGATTGAAAAGTCCTCAGACGACGACGAGAGTACTGGTAAACTTGCAGTTTGTGTCACTGTCTTGCCAGACTATTCACATGGGGCAACAGATGTATCAGGAGCAGCAACTTCCCGCCGCAGCAGTGCACCGATCATCCCAAGTGGCCCAGGAGCTCCTGGATTCAAATGTCAGGTAAGGAACCAGTCCTTATTTATTAAGAGGGGATCAATTGTCGCCAACAGAACATAAAGGCGAGGCTATAGAAAATTGACTGCCCATGAGGTGGATCATTAGACTGCTACAGTGCCTTACGGGGGGGAGGGGGGGGGGAATCAAGTGAATTTCATCGTGACAAAATCGTATCCGACGACCGACCCTCCCCTCCCCCTCACCCACAGGGCCTCAAAGTTTGGTCTTCAAGTTTGAATTTACGACGTCCGAGTGCCAATATATGTTGTAATAGTATGCACCAGTTGGCCCAAAGAAAATGAGTGGCGGCATCAGAAAAACAACTGAGGAACAAACTACTCCACACCTATTTAGAGTCTCCTCATTTGAAAGGACTCTATGAGTTATTTCAAAGCGATTACCAACGCAAACATTTAGCCAGATTCATAAGGAGATATTAGAATCACATAAGGACTGGACGACTTAGAAAGGGCGTGTTGGTGACTTCGTAATATAATTTATAACATATTTTGCAATTCATTTTATATTTCAGTCCACTATCAAACAAGATCCAAGTGATAAAGCGAAGGGAATTCAAATCCATTTGACCGATAAACTTGTCTCTGCCCTCCGAGGGAGTTTTCGAAATGGCGGATGGCAAGGTGTTGATATCCGCTGTTCACAACAGGAAGAACAGAGGAACCTGCCAGGATGTTTTCCATTTCGCTCGCCATCTCGAACCAAACTACTTTCGGACGCTCAGAGGAAGCATGAGTACGAATCACTGTGTGAAGTAGTAGATAAAACTACTCGAGGTTAAAAGGACGTTTTTCATCGACGTTCTGAACGCTCGTTTAGACGTAGAAGTTAAGGAAAATAACGCAAGTTTTCTCGATAGCTAAGTAACCAAAACTATCGACTGATTGAAGGGGATCATTCGCGAAAGTTTAACATTCTATGACATCCCTGTCTCCCTGACCTGAGTGGGTGTGCTGGGGTTCATATGATGAAAATGGCATATTACAACCGCCGATTCCACACATGCGTAATAAAGTTAGAAAAGGAAAGAGGAACCTATTAAGTTAATGGTCAGCTACAAACAGTCCCATACTTTAATTTTTGGGGTTGGTGCATGCCGCCCGAGTTTTCCTTCAAGATCAAGAGTATCACAGAGATGCTGAAATTTTTTGGGATGGTTTTAGTTACAATACATACCAGTTTTAACCGTTTCAGCGCTACTTTAGTGTTTTAAAAATCAAGAATGGCTCTAAACCGTACGTACAGGTTGTTTTTTTGCTTTGCGAAAAGATAAATCTTGAAAAATCGGGAGCATTTTAATTATCTAAAAAAAATGGGGTTTATGAACTCGTTTTGAGTCACAGGAAAATAAAGCCGAATGGTGTTTCTTAGAGGCTGTACCGTTGTTATAGTAACCTTAATGTCGATTTTCTGAGTCTCTTCTTTATCTAAATCGAGTTCTTAGGCCGTGAATTTTGCTTTAGAAAGATATCTAAGAAGCTCTGCTTTCCTTCCTAAAATAATCTGTCGATGTTAGTAATGATAAAAAAGACACCTCGTAGAAGTTAGCAACCGTTGTTGTAACATATTTACTTCAATCTCATCCGCAATTTCCACATGAATGTCAACAAAGGAAATGTCGCGTATTAGAAGTAGTTCTGCAAGAATTTCAGAAACACGCCGGTTGTTTTTTTTGCTTGATATGAAGGGCGCCCTTTAGCTTTTTTCACACGAGGGCAGTCTTGTTCACAGTGAGATGTTCACAAAAGGATCCTTTGAAGTGGAAATAATTTTTGATTGATCTGAGTTTTCCCTGACTCGATAAAGTATTCCTTTGTAATTGCATGCCGAGCAGACCCATCTGGGATGAATTTCCTCAAAGTCCTGGTCGATATAATTTTAAAATTGAACCGAAAGATTTTGTCAGACAGTCTTATTGGAGAGTCCTTTATCATAAAGTCGATAGACTGCTCTCAAGAAGGAGATATAATCATTCATGAGCTGAAACGAAAAACAAGAGGACTTTTAGGAATACTGAGAAAAACGACCGCTGGCAGAAGCTATGACGCCATGACGGCCTAGGACCGTGACACGTCACAACAATATAAACCGTGCACCCGGACTAAACCGATGTGCACTCGATTTCTCTTTTGATAAATATGAAGCAAAGATACCGAGGTTTACCGTGATATTTTTTCTTTTTTCCAAAAAAAAATCGTACATACCTCAAATTTAAATATAGCTGTAGCCGTGATAGCATGCGTGTCCTCAACCGTCCCAAGCTCTTTATGTGATATATAAAGTGAACTGGGTCCCAAGGGCCATAAATATTAGAGACAAAAATGTGGGACTGAAATGTGGGGCCAGTCTAGGTTTTGAAAATTGTACCGTGACATTATGTTTCATGACGTCATGGTGTAGACATAACTGTGTATGGCCCGGACTGCTAAGTTGGTGCTTTAGTAAACCTGAGCACAGTCTGGGCGTCCTTTGTGAGCGAATTCCTGAGTTGTTAATCCAACTTACTTGTCAGCGCTGATCTTGAAAATTCCCGGACTTTGCTGTCTTCGGAGAGACATTGCTTCTTTGGAAACCAAGCCTAAAGATACTGAAAGACATCAGAACCGGTAAAACTTTCAATTTATGCTTTAGTTCTCTTATAAGTTGGACCATAGATGTTGCTCTGCCACGCGGTCACGCGAGGAAAACAGGAAGTATATGTCTACGTGGATAGTTGACATTTGTAGTTCATACATTGGGAATTGCGAGCGAAGGTTATAAAATATTTAATTTTGAGCCATTTCATTGATCCAAATGTCATGGGTCATCAGAATTTTTCAATACAGCTGCATTCTGCGAGCGATATCCAGGCTGATAATAGGCCGGTGATTATGAAACCTCTCGTTCCAACCCGATCGCTTAAGTTGTCTGGAGCTGGGTAAATTTTCACGGCGTGTTTTCACTTGGGTTGCTAAAACTACCTAGGGAACTAAAATTTCACCAAAATACTCATTACTTTGCTTAATGTAGCTTACGAGTTTCTAAAATTGAATCTTATTTGTTCAAAATAAATTTGTCTTATGTTTCATCACGGAGCTTCTAAAGTATCTTTATAAACAAATTAATGTATAAACAATTACGCCCAAAGTGAATTACGATCTTGCACATTTTTCTAAACAAACGTTTTGAGTTTTGATAAGCATCATCCAAAGAAAGAAGACTAGCTGTAAATGTTTATTTTACTATTGATAAATGTAAACGTGGAACTTCGGTGTTCGTGTATGAAATCAAAACCTTGCTCTGAGGCACATTTCTGATGACTTAAAAATCTACTTTCGCTATTCAAGGCATCAATTACCTGAGTAAAAATCCGGGCTATTTTGTTTCATGACAAATTTCGTAAAATCATTTCTTTCGTTTACTAGGGATAACCGGTCTTCTAACGTACTGGACTCAATCAACAGACTCGACTGAGTTTAACTGTTTAATCGTTCTCGCGTATTCACTCAGTTACAGCAGGCGTGTAAAGAGCTACTCTGGCAACTTGAAACGAGATCCTAATTCTTATACTACATTCTCTACATTGTGATTGATCGTTGCTAAGCACTATGAAAAAGGTTATTCGAGGTTATGTCAATCATGTACAAATTAGAAACTCCACGATAATGTTGTTGACAAAATTAACGTCACGCAAGTAATCACGCAGTCTCCGACATTCAAAATATGATTTCGTAGAAAACGAAAGCTGCTGATAATGACTATCGTATCTAATTTGATCCTGTGATAGTTACGATTACCTGACGTCACGACAAGTTGAATAATTACTTTCAAAGTCACGCAAGTAACTAAAGGGAAAGCTATCCACTAACAGTATTTAAATACAGACAGACCGGTCAACAATCTTCTTTTTTTGGGAGTAGGCTTTCAAAAAAGAAATGAGTTGAGAATTTTTTGGTCGTTTATGAAATTTGTTTCTTGAACTGACTACATTTCTGAGTTGTCCTTGTCTTCCGCATTTTTCCAACACATCGACGTTAAAAAGTATGATTTAGAGACAAAATTATTTTATCAAAGAGTCACACAATATCCTCGACATACCAGGACTCCTTCCTTGAATTCTCTGACTGACCTATCCTGAATCCTGATCCCTTCTTTTGCTGCTTGAATTTTTATAGGTTTACGTCATTATCTTTGGCCGATAGCAAGAGAATATAAACTTTTGCAAGAAGTTAACCTTCAAAATATGGCTCAAACGGTGAAACTGGCCCTCCTCTCCTTAGCAGGAATTCTGGGATGGCATGGAGCATTTCTGGTGTTGCTGATTGTATCCTTTAAGTTGTTTTTGGAGCAAAATTTTCACGGGCAAGAAGGTTACACCTGCCCTTGCACATGGCCGACTGGTTATGGTACCATCATGTTTCTGTTCCCGTCACTAAGCACCTTTCTGGTCGCATTTTTCACATACTTCCGTCGAGATAACGATAGCGTTCCATGGAAAGCTGTGAAGAAACTTTACGAGCTCAAATGTGCTTGTAATTTTTATGATGGGCGTACCGACTGGGATTCTCACGCCGAACACTGTATTCGTTGCATGGTTCGCTGGCGAGACTGGAACCTGGTAAAGGTCGCCTTGTCAGCAATTTTCTCCCTTCTGTATCCCTTAATGTGGCTGTCACTTAGTTTTCTCCAGACGTTTTACTACGTTTGCGCTCACGTTGGTCCAGATTATGATACACTCACCGGCTACTGCGATATTACGGACATCCCCGACAATTATCAAAAGAATACTGTTCTGGCAGCGATTCGCTCAAAGGTTATTGGGGGCGTTTTGTTTGTAAGCGCTCTGCTCCTTCTGGGTGTCTTCGTGATCGTTTATGGTGAAATTAAAACCTATTTGAAGAAGAAAGATGATTCGTCAAGGTGCGGACCCAACGGGAGAGCTGATAATCTGCAAGTTCACGTCTCCGTTCTACCAAGCCGTTCATCCGGGACATCAGATAGTGCTGGACTCCATGGCAACAGAGAATCTCCTTTTGCAGCAGTTGAAAGTGGAGGCCAGGTGAGATTTCATACAAAGGTGGCTCGCAGCAGTTGAAGGTGTTTTCCTTTACACTTTAAAGACCTTTAGCAAACGGCAACGAGAAGGAGGACGTTGCAAAACAAAAAATGTAGTGGGCATGACAATAGCCCAGCACGTACGTTTTAAAACTTTGTAGATTTCTTAGCCTTCCTCTGTGACACAATAATGTGAAGTTGCCGAAATTTACGTGATCAAAAAAAAAAAGAACACCCGACGACAAATTATGTAAGTTTCAATTTGGAACTCAACCGTGCTCACAAAAATTATGCTGAAAGTGACGTGTGGCGCCAAATAAGACGTTAAACACATCAGCCATTTTTTAATTGACGTCTTCCTCGGCGTTACTGTCTTACTGCTTAAGGTCCGACTTCTTTTAAGGTTTAAAGGTTTAAATTAAGCAAGGAAGTTATCCTGGCCACGGTATATTAAATCAAAAACACTCCTGAGGTTTGCATAGATGTCGATCTTGTTTATTGACCCATCAAAGTCCGACATCCTGCAAAGCTGAAAATTAAACCCTGTGAGCTGAATTTTGTTAAAAATCACTGCGATGTATTCCTTTTAAACACTGAATAAAGGAATAGTGTATCACAGATTATGATGTAACCATAGTGTAAGAAAAATAATCAGTTGTATTGAAGCATAAAGGTTGATGTTCAAACTTCTTTTCCCGCTCCTAAGCGTGGTGAAGTTTGAAAAACTCCGATTGATTTCGACGTTTCTAGGAAATGGAGCTCTGGAGGGTGATTCGTTTTATAGTGTTTTCCTATCACCAGTAAGGAAAATCAATTTTCGTTGTTCAGAATTTCAGATGCTTCTGATGTGTCAAAATTCCTTATTTAAGTCAAAATTACTTAAATTATTATTTCTGAATACAAACTTTCCTCTTGAATCGATGATGAGCATTCTTAAAAACTGACAATTCCACGTAAAAAAATAACAACTCATTAAATTGTCATTTTTCAGGTAACCAATCAGAATCAGCCACAACTGCATGACGGGAACAAGACGATTCGTATCAATTTGAGTGACGAGTTTACCACTGCCTTGCAAGGCTGTCTTCAGGAGAGCAAGTGGCAAGGAATTGATATCCGCTGTTCACAGAAAGAAGAGGGCACGAGCGGACAGGGATCAAATATTCAATTTCCTGAGCGATCGTTGCACCAGCGAATAAGTTCCGCTGACCGTACCTTGGAAAACCCGTCGTCAACTCCACCTTAAGTTGTATAACACAAAGAACAGTGCATAGCTTGCCATCCGTAACTAAAATCAAAGTGCTCTGTGAGCAAACTCGTGAATTGACACATGATTTTTTAG